AAAAAGTTATTACCGACAATGAAAATTTTGTCGGCATTAAATAACCTATTGAGGCTGATATGCCGTAAAACAACCCAACCAATATATACTGAGATAGATAGATAGATAGATAGATAGATAGATAGATAGATAGATAAACCAAACCGAAGCAAACCGTGAGCAGTGTTAGAATACCAGCTGAGTTTTACGTGTTCATTTTTGTACAATTGCCACTGTGGTATCTATGAATCCGTATCAGTGGAATAAATCTTCATTTGACCCGCTATGATTTGAACAGCAAGATAGACTGGTCTATCTAGCCTAGGCGGGTTAGGGCTAGGGTGACTTCAAAACCGGTTGGTCTACTACTGAGCAAATAAAATACGCTTCGAGTATTTATTGGCATCACCATGGGTCACCCTTGCGGATGTGAAGGCCCGTAAATAAAGTATAAAAACTAAAATTCTTAAGTCATGTATGATGCACACTCTGTCGCTAGCAGACATATCGTCTTCTTTCATTTTTATTTATACTCTTGCCGAAACTAGAATTGGATCTCTGTTGTAACCTAGAAAAGTTTACTGATGGAGGAATAACCAAAACGGAGGTTGGAAATGAAATGGTAATCTTTATAACATCAACAAAATGCAATACTCGCCAGCGGCGTGAAGTAGGTAAACCACTGCTAGTGTTGGACTACATAGACACCATATTACCCCCACTTACAATAGTGTCCAACGTATTTATGAGGATTGGGACTTACCCATTTGCGTTCATAGGTAAGGTATATAACACTATGTCAGTCTCTTCATTATCTACCCACAACACTCCATTCACTATCTATCTATCTATCTATCTATCTATCTATCTATCTATCTAAGTCTCTTCATTATCTACCGATGACATCCTCTTTATTATCTATCTATCTGTTGTAACCTAGAAAATGTTACCTAATGAAATAATAAGCAAAACGGAGGTTGGAAATGAAATGGTAATCTTTATAACATCAACAAAATACAATACTCGCCAGCGGCATAAAGTAGGTAAACCACTCCTAGTGGTGGACTACTTAGATAGCATATTACGATATTTAACAGCCGCTCCAAGAGGTAGGATGTAGCACAAGGCTCGGGCAAAAATTGCCTGTAGACCCCGCATACGTGTGATCGGGTGTCTGTCTAGCTCAGCGGATGAGACTCTGCCCTTCGGCAAAGCCTCGTCCGAGTTCCTCTCTGTCTGAAGGCAGAGATTTCGACGCGGCAAAGTAGACAGCATATTACCCCCACTTACAATAGTGTCCAAAGTATTTATGATGATTGGGATATACCCATTAGGATTCATAAGTACGGTACATAACACTATATCAGTTTCTTCATTATCTACCGACAACACACCTTCTATTATCTATCTATCTATCTATCTATCTATCTATCTATATATATATATATATATATATATATATCTGCTATGGGAACTTACCTATAACGATAATAGACTCTTCCTGACACTATAAATACTGCACTTCTCAAGAGGTATATTGAATGAACGGTGTAACCAGCACCAGTTCATGACTGTTGAACTCTCTGTTTTGACAGAGAGGAACCCGGACGAAGCTTTGCCGAAGGGCAGGGTTCGTCCAGCGAGGTAGACAGGCCCCTGAACACGTCTAGGCGGATTCAAAGAGTATATTTTTGGCCGAGCCTACGGGCTCGGGAAACCCACGTTAAACTCGGCCTTGTGCCACATGCAACCCTCGTGGCGGGGTGGCTAGATACCGAATGAATGGTGTAACGAGTCGAGACAATATTAGTTCACTCTAAACCAGACGGACAGTAATTACTAACACCTTCAACTTCTTGTACTATATTTCTCTTGTAATATATCTTTGTTATTCTACTCTTGTGTTCGTGTTGTTCTTCCTTGGTTCTAACCTTGGTCCATAACTGTGGTGCGACGATATTGGACCATAACACTATCTATCTATCTATCTATCTATATATCTATCTATCTATCTATCTATCTATCTATCTGTTGTAACCAAGAAAAGATTACTGACTGAGGAATAACGAAAACAAAGCTTGGAAGTACGTTATATAACAATCTGACTGTAATGTTTCTACTCGTTTTCTTTAGCTTATATTGTTTCCATATCAATATAAGCTAAAGAAACTTAATTCACTCTCATGGTTCCATATATAAAGAAATACAGAAAGCGTATATAGAAATTCATTGGTGATTATTTTAAGCAAATACACCAAAAATTTTTACCACTTCCATAAATACATTAATAAAATCAAAACATATTCTGTAAACTCGAAGAGTAAAAATCAAAGATATTCGTCTAAAATTGATAATACTGTCTTCAAGTAAATTTTTCCAAAGTAGGTCATTGTATTTCATTGGATCCTTGAACAATTTTTCTTTGAACAAATAAAGAGCACTCGCTGAATGTCGCCACATTGAGAGCATCGAACAGCTTTCAAGCGTCGTCCTCAATGTTAAAGTTAGAAAGACTTTCTCAATAACGTGTGCAGTGATGCAAGAAGTCTTTCGGCAAAAGGCTGCCGGCTGAACATCTGTGTCTCAAATTGCACAAGCGTTTTGGAGATGGTCGCTAATGGTCTGAAGATGTTTCTTGCGCTCAAGTGGTCTATCGGCGTCAGACTCGACCGAAACTCTTGGCAGTATGCTGAGAACATTCCCTGAAAACCGTTATCTATCAGTAAATTTTGAAACAGAGTTCTCAGAAAGTTTGTCCGAGTTATATATAAAATATTACGCATACGTTCCGTTTGGATACATTTTTTTTTTGTCTGAAGCCATCTTTTTACGGGTTTTGAAATAGGGACCCTATTTAAATGAAACGAAATTGGCGATGATTAAATGTTAAATTTGCTTGAAATATGGGATACTTTTCTATTCTTGTTCCTCGCTTCTTTTTTTCTTTCTTTTTTGTATCCTGTCTTTTTTTATTTTCTTCTTTCTTTCTTACTTTTTGTTCTTCTTTTTCTTTGTTTCTTTTTATTTGCTTCTTTCTTTCTTTTTTCCTTTTTTCATTTTTGCTAGTCTTCTCTCCCTCTCTCTAACGTTCGTTCATTTTTGTTCGTTTCTCTTTCTTTTTCTTCCTTCCTATTTTCTTTTCTTTCTTTTTTCTTTTCTTTTTTCCCCTCTTACTTATTTGATTCTTTCTTTCCTTTTCCTTTGAAATTTTTTTCTTATTTTTCATCCTGTTTTTCTTTTCTTCTTTCTCTTATTATTTTCGTCTATCCTCCTTTCTTTCCTTCCTTTTTTCTTATTTCATACTTATTTCCTTTTTTTTTCCTTTTTCCCTATTATTTCTTTTATTTAATCTTCTTTGCTTTGATTTCCTTTTCTCCCGTATTCCTTTCACCCATTCATGTCTTCCTTTACTGAATAAAAGCTCTTCGCTGATTGGTCAGAGATTATATTGGTTAGGATACGCTACAGATAGCACAAATTTAATTAAGCCCTTTCATAAAGTAGAAGCGTTTGGTAAAATTTACAAACAAAAGACATAGATATTTGTGATTAAATGTTGCTTTGTTCAATGTACAAAAGAAATTCATTGACTTACAAGCTGATAATTTATTGGTACTATTTAAGGGATTTTTTTTTCACAGTTGTGCAATCATTCCAGAAACTTTAATTGACTTTCGTTCCGATATTTTCTTCATTAAAAAGTGTTTAACTTTTACGTAAAAAAAAAAAATGTATACTAATAACAAAATATTTAAACAGTTTTAAAAACCCTACAAACACACACACTCAAACATCTATCTATCTATCTATCTATCTATCTATCTATCTATCTATCTATCTATCTATCTGAGTTTGTAATTATCTATCTATCTATCTATCTATCTATCTATCTATCTATCTGAGTTTGTACTTATCTATCTATCTATCTATCTATCTATCTATCTATCTATCTTTACATATATATATATATATATATATATATATATATATATATATATATATATATATATATATATATATAGTTGTATTGACAAACTCACACCTCCAACTAAATATGTTGGCTCTATCACTGATATTGAGCGCTTTTAATAAGTACCGCATATATATATATAAATAATATATAAAATAATATATATATATATATATATATATATATATATATATATATATATATATATATATATATATAAATATATATGAAAAAATTAGTATTAAGTAAGAACAACAAAAGAACAGGAATTAAGAAGACATATAACTTTTTTTAAAGATCAAAGTTGACTGGAAAGCAACTCGCCGGAAGAGAGTTCCACAAGCAAGAAGTGCGAAATATTGGTTATATCTAGGCATTTTTATTAGTGAGGATATTTCACGAGAGCAGCGACGACAGGCGCTGCACGTGGAACCGGCTAGATAGGTTTAAGTTCCATTTTAGATGTGTTTCGTACAGTTTCTCACGGGTGCTCTTGGAAAAGCCTTGGACCGATCTTCTCTTCGTCCCCAGGCCTATGTGTTTAATGATAGGATTTTCCCCTCTCTAGTCGTTAAATATTTGAGTTTTACAAATATTCCAAGAAAAATCCTAAATATGAATGCTGGTTTTTATTTTAAGAAGTAAGGGGGTACAAATGAAAAGATTTGAAATTGACAACTTTATTGATTAGATTTAAAAAGGCGTTAAACACTTCTATCTTCTTTCTTTCATTCTTTCTTTCTTTTTCTCACTGAAACCAAGTAGCGTTTCTGATGTCTCAGGTTATCTGCTGTTTCTCCTCTGTATGTCTTGCCTTTTTTGCCCTTCGTTTTCTTATATCTTACCCTCTTTCTTTCTTCCTTTCTTTCCTTCTTTCTTTCTTTTTCTCACGTGAACCAAGTAGCGTGTCTATATATTTTGTCTTTCTACGCGATCAAAACAGAACAGACAATTATCTATTTGGTATTAGCAGGAGACGTCTAACACTTCGAGTTTCCCTTCTTTCTTACTTGCCTTCATTTTCTCACTGAAACCAAGTAGCGTCTTTGTTATGTCTCTGGTTACCTGTTATTTTCCCTCCGTCTTTTTGCCTTTTTTGCCTTTCGTTTTCTTATATCTTACCATCTTTTTCTTTTTTTCGTTCTTTCTATCTTTCTTTTTTCTTTCTTTCTTTCTTTCTTTCTCTCTCTCTCTCTCTCTCTCTCTCTCTCTATTCTTTCCTCCTACCTTTTTTATCTATTTCGATTGGTATCTTCTTCTTTCCGTACTTTTTATGATTTTTGTCAATATTTATATTTTATTTTTGCATTTTTTTTTTTTTTTTTTTGTTTCTTTAACTTTCTTTTTCTTCTTTTCACCAATATTTTCTTTTTATCTCTTTCCTTCTTCTTTCCCGTTTATTTGTTTGTTGCTTTCTTTCTTTCTTCTCTATCTTCTCCCTTCCTTTCTATCAGTATGTTTCTGTCTTCCTTCTTTCAGCACATGCCGTTCTTCTTCTTGTCGATCTTTTTCTTTGCATTTTCTTTCTTTCTTCCTTTGTTTATTTATATCTCTATAAATCTTACTTTCTTTTTTCCTTCTTTCCCTTATGCTAGTTCTTTCTTTCTTTCTTTCTTTCTTTCTTTCTTTCTCTCTTTCTTTATATCTGTTACTTTCTTTATTTTACTTGATTGTTCTCCCTTAAATAATTGCCAATATTTGTGTTTTACACTGGGTCCTCTTTCTTTCTCTCTTTCTTTATTTCTCTCTCTCTTTCTTTCTTTCTTTCTTTCTTTATATCTGTTAGTTTCTTTATTTTACTTGATTTTTCTCCCTTAAATAATTGCCAATATTTGTGTTTTACACTGGGTCCTCTTTCTCTTTTTCTTTCTTTCTTTCTTTCTTTCTCTCTTTCTTTCTTTCTTTCTTTCTCTCTTTCTTTGTATCTGTTACTTTCTTTATTTTACTTGATTTTTCTCTCCTAAATAATTGCCAATATTTGTGTTTTACACTGGGTTCTCTTTCTTTCTTTCTTTCTTTCTCTCTATCTTTCTTTCTTTCTTTCTTTCTTTCTTTCTATCTTTCTTTCTTTCTCTCTTTCTTTCTTTCTTTCTTTCTTTCTTCTTTTGTATCTGTTACTTTCTTTATTTTACTTGATTTTTCTCCCTTAAATAATTAATAATATTTTTGTTTTACACTGGGTCCTCTTTCTTTATCTCTTTCTTTCTTTCTTTCTTTCTTTCTTTCTTTCTTTCTTTCTTTCTTTCTTTCTTTCTTCAATAACTCCTGCCTTTTTTCTTTATGTTTATCAGTATTTTCTTCCTTTTTTCTTTCAGCACGTTCCTTTCTTCTTCTTGTCCATCTTTCATTTTCCTTTTTCTTTCTTTCTTTCTTTCTTTCTTTCTTCCTTTCTTTCTTTCTTTCTTTCTTTCTTTCTTTCTTTCTTTCTTTCTATATTTATTTATTTATACCTACGTAAATCTTTCTTTTTTTTAATTCCGTATTGTTTTTCTTTATTTCTTTCTTTCTACTTACCCTCCTATCTATTCTTGTCCCAGTCATACAGAGATTTCTAACCACCACCATCCCAAACTTTCCACGTCGCCCCTACCCGTAACTCTACCCAAACAAATATCCCACTCAACCTTCCACTTCATTTGTCAGTCGGTCATTTACGGATCGGATCAATACCAAAGGCCTTTTCGACACAATCTCTGCAGTGGTCAGAATGCATGGCGCCTGCTGCTTCAACGTGTTTATCAATATTTGCATCCAGAAACTACAAAATGCAGAACTAATAAGTGGCATTCGCTTCTGAGTCAGAATCGCTCTCACATCGTACTTACACTGATGCGTAAGATTGATCGGCACACATTCAAACCGAAAAAAGGGCGACTATAATGGTGCGAGGGTAGGCAAGCCGACTGCCTAGTAAGGATACTTCGATACTAACCTAGTTATGACCTTGTGTCAGACTAAGTTTACACTTAATTAATTATTACACATGACACTCGGCAGCTAATTGTGTCCTTATGACAAACAAACATCGCATATACACTTAATCCTAAGCTCGACTTTCATATATGCCGTTTTCTTTTTCCTTTTTTTTTTTTTTGACTACTGTTGGAAGTGTTCAGATGCTTAAACGGATAATTCCCCTAAATCTTAAAAAAATAATCCTCGTTAAAAATTGCCTAAATCAGATATAGCCTTAGAGAAAGGTATGTGTTAAATAAATCTGAGATATTTAAATGCATGACACGTGGCAGCAGAACAATCTAACCCCTTGGATTAAATAAAGTGTTCGATTCGAAATTCCAACAATAACGCATTAAGTTATTTGGTAAAGTTTTTGGTTTGTCATTGTGTAGCGCCAGACTGATAAAATATCGTCTCCCTTAAGATTTAGAGGAATTATCCGTTTAAACATATATTTTCGCCATTAATCTCTGAAAAGCGTTCTATACAGGGGATAGTTTCTAACATGATATCTCTGTCTCTAGTCCGCAGTTGAGATTTTGTAAGTATCTACAGTATTTTGTTGTCCTCATCTTTATTGTCACATTCACGACGTTTCGGCCGTTGTACGCCTCGGCCTTTTTCAGGCGTTATTGTTGGAATTTAGAATAGAACTCTTTACTTAGTTCAAGGGGTTAGATTTTTCTGCTGCCACGTGTCATGCATTTGGATATCTCATATTTAGTTAACACATACCTTTCTCTAAGTCTAGATCTGATTTAGGCTTTTTTTACGAGGATTATTTTTTTTTATTTCTGCATAGAAAGCCTTCATTATTTCTCTATGTTTACATAACCTCTTAAGAGTAGACGGACATGTCCGCTTGCAAAACTCCAGAGTCTGGATGCTGAAGGTAACATCAATCAGCTAAGTAACAAACTATATATATATATATATATATATATATATATATATATATATATATATGGCCAAGCGGTCTAAAACGCATCGGATGAAAAGGGGCTTTCTCCTAAATCTTTGTTTCACGAGAACGCAGGCCGATAGACGTAGTGCACACTGTTTAAGGAAAAAAAATTAAAATGGAGCGTCTATTTCAAATACGATTATCCAATAAAATTAACGTTTGAATTAATAAAATATCGGATTAAAAAATAAATCCATATATATATATATATATATATATATATATATATATGTATATGTGTGTGTGTGTGTGTGTGTGTGTGTGTGTGTCTGTGGTTGTGTATATATGTTGTGCGTATGTTGTATGTGTGCTTGCGTGTGTAAATGCTAGAAAGAGATAAGCTGTGTGCGGAAAAGACATTTGATTGAAACAGCAGTTAATACCAAACAGTCATCCGAAGAAAGAAAAAAAGTAGGAATTGAAAAAATCGTTTTAAATACAGACAGACATTTTTAAACTCACCAACTGATTGCAGAAAAATTTGAACAACTTATCCCATAGGTGACATGATCACACAAATGGACATTATCCAGATGATTCTGATAGTCACAATTCTTTCTTTTCCAGTGTTAATCGACATCATATTGTAAACTTATACTTTGTATTCATACTACTAGTAGTAGTAGACATAATAGTCTTAAGACATCCGATAAAATGAAAAAAAACATTGTCAAAATAAAAATAACGATGCTTCGCTTATTAAATTCGGACAAATTCTATTAGTTTTCTTTGTACTCACAATATGACAGCAATCATTGAATAAGTAGTCTAAAGCATTAGAATTTCATTCAGGGTGTAGGCACTCCAGAAAGTCCTTTTCTGTGCAATGTCATTACATCTTGGGGAAGATATTGCAATGTTTTCCCGTTGACTTTTCTTTAGTTTTTAATTCAGAGAGGTTCTCCTACTAGACTGGTTTTAAAGATCAATCTGCTCTGCCATAACAAATAGGAATGTGACAAGAATAAATGATTTCATGCCTTTGCCAAGGGGATTAGTACGATGTGAAACAGAGTCGAATAGAATTTGAACTCGGCAGCTCGACTATTCCACTTACCTGAACATGCCGAATATAGCTTTGAAACTTCATAAAAGATGTACGAACGAATCACGTCTTTGTGTCGCAACAAATCGACCATATCTTATATGTAGTATGTCATTTCAATAAGTAGACGTTTATTCTACATCTTTTGCGGAATAGGGATTGGATTCGATTTAATTGGTTTCCTGTTGCTTTCTCCACGGTATTGAGTTCAAATTTCTCCTTCCCCTAGACTGCCTGTCAAGCAAGGCTAGGGGCCCCAGTATACCCTGCTATTTAGCTCAGTTGAAATGGAGAAAAAAGATAGGTTTGTGGATAACTATCAAAGATACGTACAGTTCCTCTTGAACAGCTGTGCGCTTGATTTCAACGAACCACCAACTGATGTTGATATAATTACGACACTTTGTGAAGTGGTCTAAAGAAAGACTAATTTGACCAAGTAAGAAAGTGGAAAAGAAAAAAAATTAGAAAAAAGAAAGCAAGAAAATAATGTCAGAAATAGAGAAAAAACGGAGAAATCCTATGATTCCGTTTGAAACGATGAAGAAAGAAAGAAAGAAAGAAAGAAAGAAAGAAAGAAGAGGGGAGAGAGGAAAGAAAAGACGGAAAATAAACAAAAGAAAAGAGAAAAGAGGAGAGCGTGGAAATACAGAAAGGTAAAGAAAGAAAGAAAGAAAGAAAGAAAGAAAGAAAGAAAGGAAGAAAGAAAGAAAGAAAGAAGAGAGCAATGAAAACAAGGAATATAAAAAAGAAAGAAGAAAAGAAGAGAGGGTGGAAAGTCAGAACAAGAAAGAAAGAAAGAAAGAAAGAAAGAAGAGAGAGAGGAATGAAAACACGGAATATAAAAAAAGGAAATGAGATGGTGGAAAGTCAGAACAGTAAAGAAAGAAAGAAAAAAAGGAGAAAGAAAGAAAGAAAGAAAGAAAGAGTATTTCCCTGTTTATTTCTGTTTTCAAACCGAAGTAAATAAACAGCATTTCGAAGGCTTATTTTCATGACGGATAGCCAATTCCTAATTGAATATTGGCGCAACACAATTTTCTGCATCCAATTCACGTTCTAATTTAGATTTGTTCCTGTTCCT